AAAGAAAATACTGCCCTTTTGATTTTGAATGATTGAGCATTCCATGGTGAGTAGACCTTACTAGTGTTGTTCTCTTCCCTATAGACCTATTGACTGCATGGCTCAAAATTGGGTCATGAGGGTGAGTCCCTTTCCAGACCTAAAGGGTGGTAGAGGGCCGTACTCTCAGGTTCCTCTAGTCTCCTTCTGCCTAGTAAGCCTGATCTTTTGAGTTTTGTTCCACATATCTGTCCAGGACCTTCTAATGTGATCCCTTTCAGAGCAGTTGGTAGTGGTAGCAAGGCACCAATGAGTTCTTCTGGTCTCAGACTCATGGAGACTATGTTGACATGCTCCATTGGTCTAGTGAATGAATTGATTCCAAGCCTTTTCATTTCTTATCACTCTTCTTTCTTCCACACATAGTGTTATGTCACATCAAGAAAAGGTCCCCAAAGCTTTATTCCATCCACATCTTTAAGGTCAACTCTACTTTAAAGAGGCAGCTCTTCCCTTGTCAGATTTTGAGTGCCTTCTAACCTGAGAGGTTCATTTTCCAGCACTAGATCTGGCAACATTCCACTGTTATTCATAAGGTGGTTTTCATTAGCCAATTCTTTCAGAAGTAGATTGCCAAGTCTTCCTTTCTACTCTTAGTCTGAAAATGCCACTGAAACCTGTACACCATGGGTCACCCTGATGGCATTTCCAGTGAGACAGTTTTCAGCATTACGGCAACACACAAGCCACCACAGGACAACAAACCAACAGACAAGTGGTGGCCTCATGAACTGTATCCTATTAAAGAGCATTGCCTTCTTCAGCTCTGGTACTTGTATTGTGGTGGTGGCGATGGTTGTGTGCCCTTCAGTTGGTCATCATTCATAGTGAACCTGTATAGGGTTTCTGAGAACAACTGGTGCATTTGTGGTTAGAAGTCCAGTGCTTATCCTATAGTACCACACACCATGACCCAAAATGATACTTTAGTAACAACAATACTATTTGTGGGATTTTTGTCTCAAGAGCTATAGCCCTTCCTTTGAAGGAAGGGACAAGTATTACATTTACAGTTTTTAATAAAGAAGGATTGAAGAGCGTTATTGTACAGTGACCACAGACACTGAGTGTGGTCACTATCAGACCTGATAGTCAAATCACGAAGGATGGTGAATAAAGTCCCAACAGCAGCTGCAGGCCTCATCTTGACAGCTGGAGACCTGTGACACAACTAACAATGCAGAGGGAAACTGACAGCATGGGGGAGTCGTTTTACATCTGTTGTTCCTTTTTGAACAAAGGTTGAACCGCATTTCAGAGAAGCTCACTCTGAGATTGCAGTTGTAGGATTGCAGGAAGATCCCAGGCAGTTTTTAATCCTATTACTTCTCCAAAGTTGCAATATACTACATTGGACAATGCTGCCTTTAGGAACAAATATCTCAAGGTTCCATTTGAAATTCAGTTAGATTAAAACTGCTGCATGGGAACAAACAGCACCAAGAGCAGCAAGCTATGGTGGTCTTGGGGTTTGGGGTGAAAGTGGGAAGAAAAAAGTTCATTTATATATAAAAATCTGGGTGTTTCAAGTAACTCTTTTAATCCGTTTCTTGATCTCACTAAAGAAAGCTCTTCGTACAAAGACACTCTCATCTGCTTCGCTATATATAAAAAATAGACACTCTATCACCAACTGACCTTTAAAAGGTGATTTCATCTTTGGTCTAAATGAAGTGGGCCTGTTGTTTTTAAAGTGATTCATTCCAGTAAAGGATGGAGAATTTACTTTTCAAAACAGATCAGTGTGGTGTTAACCTAAAAGGAGCCCAGTGAAGTACGCAGTATAGGTCTGACCATGCTGGGCTCAGGTTCTTTCCTCCACCACATTCGGGGCTGTAGTGGAGACTTGTTTTTGTTTCATTTATTCAATACGGTAGTGACAAAAGAAATCTTTCATGAAATCTGCCATTTGCTACAGCAAATATATTGTCAACTTTAAAAATGGAATTTGTCTCTCCCTGAATAGAGAATCAATTTTAAACATGTAATTATGATCCAAGAGATTTTTTAAAAGCACACACAAATACACACAACAACAAAACACCAGGCTGGGCCAGCAGCTGAGCATATAATTGATTCTGAGCTAACAGAGCCAAGTGTGTCTCTCTCTCCCCTTGCCCTGTTCTTCTTGTAAGAATATTATGAAATATTATCTACGTACCTTTTCATTTCAAGCATTCTGATAGAATTCCATATGGACTTATCAGGGTGTTAAGATGTAGGGGGAAAAAATCAAAGAAACAGAAGAAATGACCCTTTCCTAAATGCAGGATGGGCACATAGAGGACTCCTCAGTCTGGGTATGGCAGAGTATAGTTTCAGTAAAAGGCAATTCCCTTTCAACCCACCTTGTCTCCTTAGAAGAAAAATTACACTCCTGGGGGAGGGTGGCAAACATGATGTCCTAAGAAACAATGTTCTTGATGGTGTAGCTGAATAAGGTCTCACGCAAGCTCAAAGTCCATGTCTAGGCATTTCTAGGTAACAATATGAAAATCTATTCTTGTCTCCATGTCTCCATTTTATGACCGATAAAATGAGAATAAGATCTGTCTGCTTTGCAGTATTCTAAAGCTGTTTTTATGATCCACAAATAAAATGGGCTATGAACATGCAAAGGTTTATTTATTACTACTACTCGGCAGGGACTTATTCCCATACGTACTCTTTGGACATATCAGCAAGGGCTCTTCTGACTCCTTCCAAGATTAAGTTCCTCATCTCTGTGAACATAAAGATCAATCTGCTACATACCTTGAAGATTCCTCATTATTAGGACCCTGAAAGCAGCCACTGCCTATTCTCAGAGGTGAAGGAAATGCTCTGCAGTCCTCAGTGCCCTCTGGCCCTTCCTCTCAGCACATTTTACGGAAAAGAAAGACAGCCATTTGTGGACTTCTAGAGCCACCATCTGGGGGAGTCCTGGGGTGGTGCTGTGGGATAAGCACTAGACCAACCATAAGGGTGGTTTGAACTGTAAGGTCGGTGGTTCCACCTCACCAGCCGCTCTTTGGAAACCCTATACAGGGTTGCTCTGAGTCAGAACAGACTCCATGGCACTTAATAATAACAGAACTACCATTCGCTCCCAACTAGCTATAAATACCTTGAGATACCATTTCCCTTCAAAGGCCTGGGTAAAACATACCAACAGGATTTTTACAAATGAAAGAAAACCACATCATCATTTTCTAAAGCTCATTAAGGAGTTTGTAGGTTAATTTGTAGGATGACACTGCCACCTGGTGGCCTGCATGCACTGTGACAGGCAAGGCTCATCAACAGGGTAATTCATGGAGAGGCAACACACTCTCCAGGTTCAATGAATAAATACGCAGAAGCCGCAGCAAAGATTCACAAGCCTCAGAAACCTTATATATAGTTTTTGAGCGGCTGCTCGATGCCACTCAAAAACAACAATTAAAAAAATAAAACGGGAACTAAACTCTGATAATATTCATTCCAACAGAGAAGCTAATTTTTCTAGAAATGACCCCATATATTAAGGAGCTCTGGTAGCGTAGTGGTTACGAATCGGGCTGCGAACCTCAGGGTCAGCAGTTCGAAACTACCAGCTGTTTCACGGGAGAAAGAGGAGACGTTCTGCTCCCGTAAAGATTTACAGCCTCGGAAACCCTGTACAGGGTGGCTATCAGTCGAAACCGACTCCACGGTGCCTTACAACAACAACAATGTCAGAAAAACAATTTAAACTTGGCATTTACTATGTGACTTGAGTGGAAGCCTTTTTCTACCCACTCAATTCTTAGTACCAGGTGTCCTCAAAGAAGTGATTAAGGAAGGAAAAAAATCAGCAGCTTGACTACACAGAAAAAAATCAGAAACATTTTATTTCATTTTATAATTTTTGTGTTTTTTTTTTTAAAAGGCAGAAACATTAAAAGTAACACCGCTTGACACTGAAGAGCCCTATCTGTGGTTCAGGAAAGATCTTGAGACTTGGTTAAAAATGCTTTGCTTTTCACATGGTCTTTTTCAGGGCTGCTTGGGTCATACTGAAGAGATAAGCTTCATAGATGATATTTACGAAGTTGTCATCATTCTGGAAAACAAAACCAAAAGACCCAAGGAGCTGTGAACTGGTTGGCAGAAAGAAGGGCTTTCTTCATCTTGGAGCTGAGCTATTTTGATACTAAAATGCTAATCTCTACATGTTGGCTTTAACAGCTGGTAGCTTTAATTCCCTATGTGAGTGCTCAGTGGAGCTGAACGTAAGGCTGAGCAGAGTCAGTGGCTGGTGTTACACGGTCAGTACATAAAGCGGCGAGTCTCCTGAGGTTCAGTGCAGATGGGAACCCCAGCCACGTGGCAGTACAAACTAGGTTTCCTCACGTAGAGCCTGGCTCGTCTGCATGAGGACACAGCGGTCCTCAGCAGAAGGGTGGACTGGAGGAAATGATCTAGGTTGGCAGTTATCAAAGTTTGGTTGAGAGATTGCTTGTAGTTCTTAAAGTCCTCTAAGTAGCCCACAATATTTATATTGCTTTTGGTATAAATCAATAATTTCCTTGTAATATGCTTCATTGGTATCTCATCCGTGCCAGTGTAATTCTTCCCATTTGCTATGGAAAGATCTTTGGTTTTGCCACGTGGGTAGCAGTTAGATCATCTCTAGGCTCTTTTTCCTGACTAAGGGGGAAGAGAGAACCACTGGCCTACTCAGTGAATTTTGTGGTTTGTAATTCCAGAGATTTCTCCCTTCTACCCAAATCCTTTACAGCTGTAGCAATTCACCCACATGTCACATTCCCCCCTTCATCCCTCTTGGCAACTTGCCCTCCCTCCCCTAACACACACACACACACACACACAGACAGAGTTAGCGTTATCCTCCTGCAATGGAAGAGAGTGACGTCATTTTTAGTCTGCTTACAAAGCAGCCACACAAAGTCCCGATGCAGGAGACTGTGTCCTAAAAACAGGTGACAGCTAAAAACAGACTGCTAGGAGGCCTGCTAACAGTTGGTCAGGAAGATGCTGGTTAGAACAGGGGGAAAGTCAAGCACATGCAGCGTGGAGGGAACATGAAGATAGGTTCTAACTAGCAGTGCTCAGAGACTGATCTAGGCCATCACAGTCTTGGCTCCTGTGGGTAGAGATATCTCTGGAACAAAATCATCTGAACGGAATGAGTCACAAACAATGTGGACCTTTAAAATTCAAACTGAAGGGTGTTTTTTTTTTACCCCTTCATTGTTTATGGAAAATTTACAGATGTCCTTTCTTAGTCTGAGGGAACCCTGGTGGTGCTGTAGAATAAGCACTGGACTGCTAACCACAAGGTTGGCAGTTCAAACCCACCAGCAGCTCCTTGGGAAAAAGATGAGGTTTTCTACTCCATAAAGATTTACAGCTTTGGAAACCCTATGGAGGGCCACTAGGAGTCAGAATTAGCTTGGTGGCAATGGGTTTAGGTTCCTCAGTTTTCTTGAAGTTACCATGAATCACTTGAAAAGGGAAATTTTATTTTTATCCTGCATTTGTTTTTTTTATGAGTAGAGTCTTAGTAAAGACTCAATTTTAGATCAGATTTGTTGTCTCTATCTATTTTCCACACTCAGCTACTGATTTCTAGCCTCATTCCTTTCATTCTCTGCAAGATACGCTACCTTTAAAACATTTTCACCTACAGAGACCACTGTCTTTTTCAGGAAGGATGACGCAGCTGCCATAGCAGTTGGCCTGTTTTCCAAATGTCATGTGACACATGAGCCAAATACCCAAACAAGCTGATGTCTTTAAAGACTATTAATCAAAAAGACACCTAGCTACCTAAACTCAGATAGCACAAGTGTGTCTGGCTGAGAGCAGCCACTCTTTTGAGGCCTACTGTGTAGTTTGCAGGTGTGCTTTGCTGAGTGGATTGCTGCGTGATCTCCCAAGTGCAGAGCCCCTCAGTCAGTTGGGTTGAATTCCAGCTCTACTCTTTACTAACTCAGTCACTTAGCCTAAGCTTCTTTGTATGTGAAGTAGGGTTATTTTATCAGGATTACATAAACTATTATCTATGTACATGGAGTCCTGGTGTGGCGCTGTAGGATAAGTACTGGGCTGCTAACCGCAAGGTCGGCAGCTCAAACCCACCAGCTGCTCTTTGGAAATCCTACACAAGGTCACTATGAGTCAGCACCGACTCAGCAGCACTGAACAACAACATTATCTCTGCACAGTACCTGGCTAGGAACTTTGTATATGTGGTGGCTCTGATTGTTAGTAGTATCTCATGTCTGCCATTGAGAGCAACGGCCGAGAAAGGAGTCCCAGCACCATTCTGCCAATATGAGGTCACTGCCATTGAGTCTGTTCCCACTCACAGCGACGCTATGGGACAGAGTACAACTGCTCCTTAGGGTTTCCGAGACTGTAAATCTTTAAAGGAGTAGACTGCCTCAACTTTCCCCCACGGAGCCTCTGGTGGGTTTCAACTGCTGACCTTGCGTTCAGCATCCCAATGCTTAACCCACTGTTGTTGTAGTTAATTAAGTGCTGCCGAGTTGGTTCTGACTCACAGTGACCTTGTATAGGGTTTCCAAGGAGTGGCTGGTGAGCTTGTACCGCCGACCTTGTGGTTGGCAGTCCAGAGCTTACCCATAGTGCCATACCAGGACTTCTTTAACATACTGTACCATCTGTCAATATTAGCAAGTCTCAAAATTATTAGCAAAATAGATCTTTCGTAGTCACAGCCTAATCTTGTTTTGCTTGTTTCCTATTTGTTCAATAGGGTGCTTGACCTTTCTACTCACAGACTGCAACTTGTCTGTTTCCCAACAGTGAGTTCCCAGTTTGGGAATCCTGTGGTCCTTTGCATCCTCTTGGGGGTGGGTTAGTCATACTGTGGAGGCGGTTTTCTTTTCTGACAGGTGAACAGCTTGGCAGGCTGAGTCAATCCTCCAGATTAGCAAATCTGTAAGATTTGAAAAGAGCTGAGATGCCCAAAGCCACCATTCTTAACTTTGAACATCATCTAGCTCACCATCTATGAGTTGTTGGATTGTCCTCTTACTCACAGACGCATAATAGGCACTAGCGAAATGAGTCTTCACCTCAGGGTCACAACCAAGAGGTCAGCAGTTCTATAGAGGTAAAAAGAAGACAGCCACAGTGCCCCCCTTACCTGAACGAGGTATAGCAGTGCTTCCTGAAGCTGCAGCTTGGTAAGTGGGCTGCTGGTGATCGCGGAAGGCTCGGGGTTCTGTACAGGCAAGATAAGGCTGGTGGAGGCAGCAGGTGGGTCTTGGCTTCCCAAGGGCAAGAGCCCACTGTCCCTGTCCTTTGATGGGGCAGAGGTGGACTGCGTGAACACCATGGGAGACATGAGCAGAGAAGGAGGCATTGTAGTGGGGATACGCTGAGGCGAGATGACCTGCATTGAGCAAACACAGACACAGAAGGCAGGATTACAGGTCCAGAGAGAAAGAGGTCTCCTCACTCACAACAGTAGATATAGGTAAGTTTAAGTATTAGTTATTCACAGCTCCTCAGGTTGGGAAAAGCTTTTGAGACAACCAAAGCCTGTTTGAGTCCCAACGTATTTTCCTTTGTTGTTTCTAAGAGCTCTGGTGCAGTCTTTGAAGCATTTGTATGTAAACTGTTTGTTGAATGTTTCCGTATTATTTAAAGTTTGGAGCTGAGGAATACTTTTCAGGTTTACTGTCATTATTTAAGGAACCCTGCAGGCACTAGGGGTTATCATTGGGCCGCTAACCACAAGGCCAGCAGTTCAAACCCACCAGCTGCTCCACGGGAGAACGATAAGACTGTCTGCTCCCATAAAGATTTAGCCTTGGAAAGCCTACATAGTCAGAATCCACTTGATGGCAGTGGGTTTTAGTTTAGTTTTGTTTTTATCATGACTTGGCCACACACACTTAGACAGTGGGCCTTTTCCTCAGGGAAAAGGTTATTAAGTCAATTCTGACTCAGAGAGACCCTATAGAAAAAATCCTTTGGATTTCTGAGACTCCTCATCTTTCTCCCAAGGAGCAGCTGGTGGGTTTGAAGTGCATGCATTTTCTGTTTATCTATGCTAACGTTTTGAGGGCTGGGTCCCCTGGAGGACTGGTCATTGCTTAATAACCCAGTGAACTTGTTTATTTTCTGGGTGAGTCTATTTAGTTGGGGGTAGAGAGCAAGCAAGCTTAGCTAGCTCACTTGGCTAACAAACCTAAACCCAAGTTTTCCAGTAGTTTTATCAGTTACTCAAGTGACATTTTGATCCCTGTCTGCCTGACCCCTACAGTGATCTCTCATTTGTTTCTACTTCAGATGAGAAAAAGAAGTGTTGTGATCAGTCCCCTAAAATTCATGAAAATAGAGAGGATAAAGGCCAGCATCTAAAAGATGCTGTAATTTACAGTCACTCCCTTGGCATCTTTTTGGGCAGAAACTAGCACGAGAAAGGCAGTCTGCTTGTTTCTCTTAACTTGCCTATTTGACAGGAGAGGTGCTGAGAAGGGACGCTCCACAGAGCGGGATTCCCAGCACTGTTTAAGAGGAGGACAGTGTGGGCTGACAGAATGCGCGTGCATGCTCTTTACTTGGCTCTCCCTATGTGTGAGTACTGAAAAAAGAAAGAAATACACTTGCAGAAATGTAAATTTAACTACTCATTCCAATCTTCCTAGTGTCCAGTGCTAAAGCATCACAGAGGAAAAGAGCAAAGGGAAATCCTACATGAAAATGAGGGTGAGGGTGAGTTACAAACATTGTTTCTAAAGCAGCAGGTACTCAGGTTTGGGGTTTTAACTAATAATACATGAGAATACGTTGACTCAGGGTCTCACATGCACAAGGACTTACACTATATGTCTATGATCTTTGTTTTCAAAAGACTGAAACATTTTTGATGATCTGTTATAAGCTACATGCCAAAACATGCCAAAAGGACCGATGATCATATATATACAATGAAAAGAATTTCATCATTTTAAAACCCAAGGCATTTTGAGTGAATTTGTACTAGTTCAAAGGGAAAAACATCCAAAGTCAAATCTCTAGATGTTATCAACAGGTAGTAACGGATAATTTGGGGTTTTCGCCTAGAAATTTTAAAGATTACTACACTATTCCAAGTTATGGATGAATACAGAAAACCATCTTTCTTGAACAAAGAGTATTTCTGAAAGTTAAAATAATTTTCACTCTCTTGAAATTTGTAGGTGTATGTGTGGACATATCACCCCTTTTCTGATCTTCAATTTGTGAAACTGGTGGCATAGAAAAATAAAAATGGGCTGTACCTTTAAGGAGTCAATACTAATTCTTTTTGATCTCTGTGTGTTTACTACAATAGCCTACAGGATTATGGGTTCTGTTTTCTTCACCTTTATATGCCCACATGCATAGCACAGTGTCTGAAGTGTAGTAAGGGTGTTGCAGAATGATTTCAAAGCAGACCATAAGCTCCCATGGCCTTATCTCAAGGATAAGGAATTCATTCCATGTCTATCCAGGTCTTGCACTTTGTACCGTGAAGATTTAGATCTATAGATGCGCTATCTCTAGAAGAGAGGAAGCTACCAGATTGCTGAGCAAAGAGACAGTTCTCTTTACAGACAGAAAGTCAAGAGGTAACAAGACGCACAGATGTGGCCTTGGCACACAGTTCCAAACAGAAATGGATGTGATACATGGTCCCTAGAGCACAGAACCAATTATAAATTTCACTGCTTTATAGTTGCTGTTTTGTTTTGTTTTTTTCTTTCCCCTTGTGGTAACTTACCTGAAAAAGAGGAGTCTGCCCTTCTGTGCTGGATGTCTTGTCGATCCAGGATTCCAAGGGTTTCACCATCCTGGTACTCTGAGTAACCACAGGAAACTTGGCTGCCAGGGCTGGTCGGTTGGGTGCCTGTAGCTGCTGCTCTTGCTGCACAATCTGGAGCTTTCTCAGGAGCTCCTGAGGGGAGACCACTCCAGAACCGCTCATCTGAGCACAGGACAGGGGAAGTGGTGGTCTTGGGAGTACAGACTGTTCTTTCCCAGGAGCATGATGCCCGAGTGTCTTGGGTGGAAGGGAGCCATTGACATACACGAGTTGTGACTGGGGGAGACCCTTGCTTGGAGCTGCAGGGGTGGCGGCAGTGAGGGCTCTGCTGAAGCTTGGAGCAGCTGAGCTGGGAGGTCCTGGCATGCCTGCACTTGGTGGCACTCTGCCCCCAGGAGCACTCTGGAGCTTCTATAACAGGTTCTGAGTTCTGGGAGCACTTTGCACACGATGAGAAGTCCCAATGTGACTGGGAGATGCTGGCTGGACAAGCCCAGTGAAAACATCCCCAGCAGAGTGGGGATTGCTATTTTCACAGGGTCGGTTTTCGGGCAGCTCTGACAATGGGTGGAGGTCTGAGCTCCCGATCATGAGTTTCTGAATGGCCGGACAGAGCTGCTTCTCCAGCAGGGGTGAGTGTCTTTTGGGTTCCTCATAGGACAGGGATCGTACAACCCCCTGCCTTACCGGAAGTTTCTCTTGATGCCGCTGCGGGTGGAAGGTCTGGGGGTGCTCCATGATTTCATGACATGTAGCTCTATCCTGCTTCCCAAAGAGAGCAGTCAAGGATAAGTGTTGGGGTTCAGGATCTAAGGTCTGGAACAAATGAAAACATCTGAGAATGAGTCTAGATACACTTTGGCTATATGCCGGTGTATATGAAACAACTCAGTTTGATGATTAATTTACAAAGAATCAATTAGAAAGGATGAAAAAACATATCCTAATAACCTGTAAACTGGCTACAGGGTAAAAAATTAACCTTTTCAATGTCAAAATTTTTCACAGCACTGTCCCCTACCACCTCTAAGACAGCTGTTATATTTTAGTATCTGTTGATTGATAAAATAGGCAATGGTCCTTGAGAAGTCTGAAAACTGTGGTACAAAATAGATATACTATGAGGTAAATAATCTCGTCAATAGGAAATTCACCTAATCTAGCAATATTCAAGAAGGCACTGGGCGTATACAGGAACATGAGGAGTTTAGGATTCCAGGTAGCTTTTGGCAAATTTATAAAAATTGAGGGCTAGGAAGAAGCATAAGTCTTTGACTCTGCCTTGGTCCTTCTAAGTATATAGTAGTAGCTTTAATGAAATTATCGGATACATAAAATTGATCTCAGTCCTGTCAGTTACCAAGCTATTTCCTTCCCATTCTGTATCACCTCAGTGCTTTCTGCTGGTTTCCATATTTGGGGGCAAAGGAACCATGGGCTCCATCCTAAAGTCAACAGTCAACATATTCCAGTTTCTCTATTAAAGCAGAAATTAAAAATTTCCATTGAAACCAAAAAGAAGGAAAAAGCTAAAAGAAAAATAGAAAATTTATTTAAAACTCTGAATATGAGTATAGAACTTTCATTTGGCTGGTCTTTATCTCTTTTAGCTGCTTGATTTTTTTCAAAATTAATTTACAACAGTTCCCCAAAAAGCAAACAAACAAACCCCAAATGAGGAATAATCATTACAAAAAATATATATATACATGGACACATCCATTGTATTTACAACCAACAAAGGGGCCTATACACTAGCAAGTTTTGTTAAGGCTTTATATTCCAGAAAAAAATATATATACACATATAAAAACTGTTGTGATATTTATATCTTAGATTGGAAATACAATGACAAACCTTCATCATGCTTACAGGGAAGTCTTATACCTTATACCATTCCTTCAGATTCGGCGATCCTGAAAGCACAGGACTCCTGTTCTATATACTTGGTACCTGGTACTGCACTCAGTACAAGGTGCTCAGAAAAGTTACAGCGGATTCTGTTGTCTTAGTTACCATTCTCTCAGGGTTGCAGGAAATCACCTACTCCTGAAGATGGGTAATGCTTCTGTCATCTCAGACAGAAATGTTATGTGTTATCTTGTTTCTTCTTGAATAGTGTTTCCCCAACACTCATGTCTACCTGGAACCTGTGACTCTGACCTTATTTGGAAACAGGATCTTTGCAGGTATAAACAGGTGAGAAGGAGGTCATAGTCAATTTGGGTGGGCCTCAAATCCAATGACTGGTGTCCTTATAAGAGGGAAATTTGGACACAGGCAATGCACAGAGAGAGGGAAGACGGCCATGAGGAGATGGAGGCAGAAACCAGAGCGATGGAGCTATAAGTCAAGGAATGACAAGAATTGTCTGTGACCACCGGAAGCTAGGAGAAGGGCATGGCACATATTTTCTCTTGAAGTCTCTAGAAGGAATTCACTTTGCCACCACTGTAATTTCAGACTTTTTGACCTCATAGACTGAGAGAGAGTAAATACCTGTTGTTAGCCACCTAGCTGTGGTATTTTGTTATGCCATCCCTAGGAAACTAATATAGAGCTCAAGTTCAAAAGAGATTTATTAGCACAGAATATGGTAGATGCTAAAAGTAAAAATGTCAAGTCTCTTCTAGAGAAAAGAGCAAATTACAAATAATGAAAAATATCTCTGATTTGAAATCTCTCTTCCTCAGATGTATCTTAAAGAATTCTTGAACAATACCAAACCCTACGCTGGATTGCAATGTCTGTTTGAACCACAAGGTCAGCGGTTACAGTTCACCAGCTTCTCCCTGGAAACCCTATACAGGGAAAATATGTGTTGGAACTGACTCGACAGCACTAACAACAACAACCTAACTATAGTATGGATAAAGTTCTATAAGAATCCTATAGAAATGCCACATATGAAAAGCAGAGGACTATGTACCTGGCTGAGCTGAGACACGTGCTTTTGTTGGTTTTCGCTGGGTTTCACTGGAATTGGCTTGATGAGATTGGGGTTGTCATAGATGGCAGATGAACTGGTAATCTGTTTTGGTTCAGAACAGGTTTTACACTGAAATGGAAAAAACAAACCCTCATTTTAAGTGTTAAAGAAGCTTTGATATTTTAAAAAGAATATATCTTTTGATTTCTTATGTTTAGCTGATAGATGGATATTTATGTTTTGATAGATTTGAGAAAAAAAACCAATTTGAGACGTTCTTTTCATTTTCTCTGGTATGAACTACGTTTGACTATAAATTGAATTAAAATTTTTCTTAGTTGCACAATTCAGTCATCAGCCTGTAGGATCTACAGGATCTACAGATACTTGAAAGGGTATGAATATGCTTAAGAAATAATAGTTTAAAAAACATATAGCCAAATACTTTTCAAGATGGTAAACGATGATGGAATAAGACCCTTAAATAGGATGCCTGGATTATAGTAGGTCCCACTCTCATCCCTCCATTAATAGCTGACTCCAAATTAGAGAGTTGCTGAGTAGAATTCACCAGAACAACTAAACCTTTTTAGTTTACAAACCAAAAAGTTAAACTGACTCAAACCACTGATTTATAAATCACTAACATCATCTTTATTTAATAAATTACATCTTGCATAAACAGAATAATTCAAATCTGAATGTTCTGAGCCACTCACTACAAATTAGAATTTCATAGAGAAAGAGACAAGCCTCATCATTTCAAATACTGAATCATTATCATACATTAATCTAACCAACCATGCAATTGCTAACACAGTAGGATTCATAACAGAAAGAACATAGCAATGATGTTGGTGTTTACTTTGTTAAAATACCAACTAAGACTGAATATAAAAATGCTACCTCCTGTACTATAGACTCTCCATAGCTTGGCTGGATTTAATTGTACAATTGTGGCCTTGGGCCAGAGAACAGTTCACAATGTACCTGACATGGAATAGCTAGAAATACAATCATGTTCCTCAGGAACCCAAGGCTCCCAATGTGTTTTACAGTTTTTGGGGGTTGATTTTCTAATTCAAGGGCATGGGGATAGGATCTCTTACTATATTAGGCACGTAGGTTTGTAAGTTTAACTGCACACACAAAAAAACATATTCTTCTAAGCATTCTGCCAATAATTTGGATATATGGCACTATTACTACTGGGATATGA